ATTTATATAACAAGAGCGCGAAGTTCAATTTCGCGCATTGAGACTGAAGGTATTTTGACGAGGCGAAGCAGAGTCAAAATATCAATCAAATGCGCGAAATAACTTTGCGCTAGCGTTATATACAATATTTTTTTACAACTGAACCGATTGTTAATTAAATTTGCTGTTTAAGTTCAACTTTGTCACGTGCGCGAAATACTTTTTTCACTGTTGACGATTTCGCGCACGTTGTCAATAGCAACCTTACTTATTAATTAACCGTTTAAAAATCTAGTACTTCGCGTTTCGAAATCCGTCAGAAAATGACGGTTTTTTTTTGACAGTTGTAGAAAAAAAATTTAGGTACATATACCATACGCCAGTCACAAATATTCTGGAAGAAAGTCTGAGATCCACGTCCACGCTTCGTAAGAGGCCCATCAGGATCCAGGCGATCAAGCAATTAAAAGGGAAAGTAACAAAATCTAAGAATGTTCCTGAAGTTGAGGAAAATAGTTCCGATTCTGAAGAGGAGGAAAGATTCTGGTTTGTCTGCATGGATAAAATATTCAAATAGTACGTCATCCGCTGAAAAATGGACCGATTGTACAATGTGCAGCTTTTGAGCTCGTGCGAAATATTGTGATGCGGGTTTTACCCACCACATTTGCCACAATTGCAATTTCGATTCAGATTAGTATAGCTTTGTTATTCCGTTTTTCGTATAAATAAATACGAATTACTTAATTTGTGAGTGTTCAATGAAACAAAATTACTGACACCCCAACAGCGAGGTACGTTGACAGATTTGCAGCAGTCGAAAAAAAAAATTGGTGGAAAAATAATGGTAAATGATTCCCGATTTATAATCGTGCAGGACGGTTGTCCTTCTATTCCAGTGGTAGGTACTACAGTAGAAGGAACAAATACTCTGTCATAACGTGGAAAAAAATCCTGAAAACCGTGTTAAATATCCTTGGTCTCTCCCCCTATATAGGGGGGACATCTTCCCATTTTTCCTTCCCGAAGAAAAATTGTCATACATAATATATATTGCCATTAAGGGTGTATTCCACTTAAATTTTATTTCTGAAAATCGAAACGAATAAACAAAGATTGAAGAATTTACCTGCCCATCAACCATTGTATAAAGTAAACAAGTAATTACGCTAATTTACCTAGGTCATTAGCCATTGTGACGAATATGCATATATAATTAGAAAACGCAAATCATTGTCACAGTCGCTAATCCTCAATAATTTCACTTTTCCCAGTTATTCATAAGACGTATATATTTTTTTAAACCCAGTATAGTTACTTCATGATCATGAACTATATTGACTCTATCTGGAAAATAACGCATGTAAGCGAATAAGTACCTATAATTAGATATATTTAAAAAATGCATATCCAAATCCCAAACATTTATTAGTACCTAGGGGTTTTTCAAAATTTCGTCTATTCGGGAACAACACAATATAAATGAGAACTAACGCGTTTTTCGCAAACTATATCTTTTCCGAAAGATGCTACATGGGAATAATTTCAAATCTGTATCACCCTAAAATTTTAAGGGTGTTTCAAAATTTCGTCTAAATCGTGTAACGAGTGGTTTTATTTCGCGCCAAATTTCATTAAAAAATTCGAAATTTCTTGTCATGATAGTGAAGGTCACCCTGTATATTTCATTATTTGTTCCGGTTAGAAATTTTGTGTTTGGGCATTTCGGTTCGCTCAAGACTATGGTCCGATAGATTTAATTTCGCTCAGATTTAATTTCGTCGTGGGAAGAGTGCAAAGTTGATTGACGTCATCATGAGTAATGCGAGTTTTGTCGTTCGTTTATCACCCAAGGCGCCGTCTAGACCGAGAATAGGAGCGGATATAGCAAGAGATAAGGGGTCTTCAATTCGTCAGCAGAAATCCGTGAGATAAGCTTATTCAGCAGTTCCTGGAGGTTGACGACGAAGTTAGAGTGGGTTAAGTCTTCTTTATCTAAACCAATGGGAGAATTTCTAGCGGGAGCCATTTTTGTTTTATGGTAATTTGGGTGTGGTTTTCTCAGTTCAATTCTGAAGAAGGGGATCGTTTTTAAACTTTAAAGAGACTCGCGGTTAGTATGTCAAGCGGTCAACACGTACCTTGAGTGATCGTTTTTTGGGGGTACCTAGCGGTTTGAGCCACCGGTTTATTTCGGTTGCTCGCAGTTGCGTGCTTTTTGCACCCGTTTCGAAGTGTTATTTTCTTTTCGCGTTGATTTTTTGGCGACGAAGACCCAGGTTCCGATAAGGTGATATTTTGGCGAACCCTTGAGCTTCACCCCAGTTTACTTTGGATGCAGTGAATCGCGTTAGGATACGTTGTGATTTCTCGAGGATATATAATTCAAAGTGCTGCCCTAGTCCTCAAGGCGCCGATATTCGGGATCCGCCCCAGGTGGAATTTCCTACTAGTGCCGTACGGTCATTTGTCGAAGGAGCGCTGCGTTTTGGAGAGATATTTGCCCCAAGAAGAGCTGGTGAAATAATACGTCGAACCACCCAAGAACAAATCGCGGTTTACCGTCGGATAGTGATCATAAAAATTTGTGTTCTGCCGTGCCGCTAACTCAAAAATCTGTCTCCCGCAGGCGATCAAAGTTAATAAACTCTAAGAGCCGGTGGAAGGAAATAGTAGGGGTCACTGTTTAAATTAAATACACCTGCTGTGTAGAAACTTTGGCAACTAGCCGTCTCCCACTCGCCACGCGAAGGATTTCCTGGACTAAGCTTCAGTTCAAACACTAAACTTTGCTTTCGTTCCGAGGAAGGATAGGCACCGTGGATTTTGTTTCCGTGTGTTAATTTCAAGCCACCCCCTAGGAAGTCACAGAGACCTAAGTGTCAGGTTTCATCACATCCACCCTGTACCAGAGGAAAGAGCAGTTCACAAGATCGGCTGTACAAATGTTGTAAAGGTTAGTCTAATTAAATTTGTAACGTTCTGTAAAGTCCCACTTTTTGGTAATGAAGCTATAGAAAAAATTTTGATTTGATTGTTTATTAAAGTCCAATGAACGATTACCAAAGAGTAGGATAAATTTTTGTGTTTATTTAAATAAGTCCCAGCCCACGCTGGAGTAAAAAAACGATTACCTGTTGTTGCAATTTTCAAACTGTAGAGGATGGCCACCCCTTGAGTAAATTAGTCTCACCTGGTAGGATTTTTTATTTAGTTTAGTTGTCATTGTTAAGCTAGTGTTTTTACAAGGAGGAGAGAAGAACTGCTAGATCCCTGTAATTTGTTTGTATCTCTAATATCATTTAAATATATTATCTATTTGGTTTCAATGTGCCTATGTCTTTAACGAAGAACGAGGGGAAGGAAAGGGAGGAGTAGGAGTTGAGGCAGGAGACTGGTAGGCGGCAGGTTAAGGTTTGTTACGCAGTTTCAAAAGAGTTAAAAGCCCACCGATTTGAGTTAGCCGGAGCATTTATTTTTATCGATTGAGCAGCCGGAGAAGAAGACGGTTTGCCTTGCCGGGCGGAACCGATGGTAATTTTCAAGTCCAGAAGGAACCCCCGTAGCAATCGGGAACAACACAAAATAAATGAGAACTAACACTTTTTTCGCAAACTATGTCTCTTTCCGAAGGATGCTACAAGGAAATAATCTCAAATTTGTATCAAACAAAATTTTAGGGGTGTTTCAAAATTTCGTCTAATTCGGGAACAACACAAAATAAATGAGAACTAACGCTTTTTTCGCAAACTATATCTTTTTCCGAAAGATGCTACATGAGAATAATCTCAAATTTTGATCACACTAAAATATTAGGGGTGTTACAAAAAACCTCAGAAAAGACGTAAACTTTTAATTTACCCAAAAATAAATCACATTTTCCGTGTGAATTCTATTACCCAGTATACTATGGAATTATAATACGTTCTAATGAATCCGGTTTCTATTTCTAAATTAGTCCCGATAAACGCAACAATGCCGCTAATGAAGTCAGGCCTGCCGTATGATGTGTTGCCTACTGTACATTTATAAATGGTGAATGACTTCACTAAGCGCTACAAGTTTTCGTAAAAAATTTCGAATGAATATTTCGTCTAAAATTTTTTGTAATTTATTTGAAAGTTTGGTCGATGGCTCTATGGTTTGCTAATGTTTTTTCTGAGTATGCTACAGGGAGATTTTTAAAATAATTTGTGTTGACGCCATTTTACCTATAAAAGTTCACTTTTTATTGGCAGTGCTCTAAATAATTGATTTTTCTTAAATATTAAAATTTTGTTCTGTAGCATACTTTTTAAATGTATAATTTACACGAAAAAAATTAGCCCCGTCTTTCATCTCATGTTTTACAGAAGTGAGACGAAATATAAATCGCACTATTTTCGCATAAATGTTGTAGTACTGGATTACACCCTTAACGTTT